TTGCTCATACAGACATTACAATTTTCTACTTAATTGCAATGAACCCAGACATCAGATTTTAATTCTGAAAAGGGACACGGATGGCTGAAATAACAACTAACCTGTCGGACAATCGTCTTCATCAGAATTATCCAGACAGTCGTTGTCTCGATCACATTTATACGATTGAGGTATACATCGTCTATTTCTACATTCGTACAAACCAGACGGACAGGAGGCGGGGTTAGGTTCGTTGGGATTGGGTTCACACGATCGTTGATCTTCTTTCAGTTTGAAACCATAGGGACAGGCACAGTGACGGCCTATTATTATTAAACTAGGACTGACTGGTACCGGGAAACAGAAATGGGAGCAATCTCCGTTTCTTCGTGTACATGGATTCTGAGCTACAAAAATATAAAAATATTACAGATGAAAATCTATTCTTAAAATTCTTTTCTCCACTTGAGGGATTGGATTGTAGGCTAACAGACTTTCAATCAAGGCCTCTGATTGGCTGTATTTGTTAGTGTATAATCCAATCAAATCACTACATTTACAAACTTCAGTGATACAAGAAAGATGCCAAATGATGTCAAGGTATTAGACAGAGATTATAATAGCATACAAAATTGCTACATTTACAAACTTCAGTGACACAAGAAAATGCCAATTGATGTCAAGGTATAAGACTGATACTTACAAGATATTGGTTGTAAATCTTTATCAAAAATCTTAATTCCCATCATTTTACCAATCCCTGATCGAATTCTACGTTCTTTTCCACCATTTTTATCAATTTTCAAAATGGCTTCCATCCTCCAGTCGGTAAAATATATACTATCTGAAAGCAAACATAAAAATCCTTAATTCATGTCCTAGGCCAGCGCTTTCTTGAATACACTCGCAGACAAAAATGGAGAGAAGGGTAACAACTTAGGTTCATAAGGATCCTTTCTAGGTTAGGTCAAAAGGTTAATTTGACGCATGTTCTAGAGAGCTGTCTTTAGACCCTAACTGACTGAAGTGACTAAATTAAAAATAAAAGCTAATAAAAAATAAAAGGTCATTTGAAGAATGTTCAAGAGGGCCGTCGTTAGACCCTTACTGAAGTGACTAGACTAAAAAAGAAAACTAATTAAAAAATGAAATGAAAGTTTGGTTTAATTTTAATTACACTGAAAAACAGTAATAAAATATTACCTTTATAAACAGAAATTCCAAATGGATGAGTTATAGAATGTCCTTCTAACGTGGTCAAATCATTGCCGTTAAAATCAGAACTTTGAATTCTGCAAAAAAAAAGTTAAAAGGATTGTAAAGAGGTTTTCTGAATTTTTTATGTTAGTAGATCCTTCATAATATAAACACGTCTTTTTTCATCTGATAGAGCTCAGTTACAGCCATCAGTAACCCTTTTCAAATTAAAAAAAAAAAACAATACGAAAGCAAACTGACCTGTCAAAATAAGCATCCACCCAATACAAACGATCCGCTTCAAAATCAACGCACAAACCATTCGGCCAGCCAAGTTGATGTTGTCTTATCTTGGTGACGTTACTACCATCTCCGTACGCCCTAGCGATATACGCCGTCTGCATCGAGTTTCTCAACCAATCAGAGAAAAATATCACCCTAGTAAAAATCAAATTTAAAATTTCGATTCATGGGACACTGATAGCATCAATTTACACCATTCCAATTTTCAATCAGACGTCTGTGGTTCCTGCAATTCCACTAAAACTAAGTGTTTGATGCCTTTACTATCGCAAAATATCACATAAGGCCCTTGGCAATTAGTGACGTCATCTAGTAGAATTGCAGGAATCACAAATCAAATGAATTCTGCACCAGATTGGGCTAATGAAGACAGGAAACGCCATGCAGTGTTCAATGAGGGAAATTTAGCCATGATAGCAACTCTTTACCAATTTCCAACTGTCGAGAGATCTTTAACGTACACAGTCTTTAGCACACAGGGCCTAAGTTTACTGTCCCATCTGAACGACTTTTTCCATGTTAGCCCAAATGTAGCAGGGGCGACAGAATTGTCCACCTTACACCGAGGGGTCATAATATATTTTGTTAAAAAACCTACCCTTTTAAGGGGTTGACAACAATAGATCTGGGATTTCCCAAGTCTTTGATGACGTCACGTCTGTCTCCAGGCTGTTCGATTCGGACCACAGACACTGTTCTCTGAGCATAATCGGTAAAATACAAATTCTTGGACATCCAGTCTACTGACAGACCTTCTACTGTTCTAATACTGTTAACAACTAGTGGGACTGGATCTAAAAATCAAACAGAATGAACATGAATGAACATGAAATGAAAACAGAATGAACATGAATGAACATGAAACGAACATGAACCAACATGAAATGAACATTAATGAACATGAATCCAACATGAAATGAACATGAAACGATTATGAATTAAAATGAAATGAACATGAATCCAACATGAAACAAACATGAAATGACCATAAAAAGAACATGAAACCATTATGAATGAACATGAAAGAACATGGATAATCATTAATCCAACATGAAACTGACATGAAACGAACATCAAGAGTTATTCATCTTACTTTCGGAAACCTGTTTCATTTCATGAAGACGGACAACCAAAGGGAATGCATTATAAAATTGCAAACCAAAATGAAATTGAGTTTTACGTACTACTTTTCTGCACCCGAAAATCCAAACATTTTAGCGAAACATTGGTAGCAGGTAATGAACTTTTCACATGAGGAAGTATATCAATGATAAGTGAGTAAGTATTTCACAATGAAAAGTGGTATCAGGTGTCTAGAAGAGTAGGCATACCCTGTCTGGCACAAAACTGCTCACATGAGGAAGTATATCAATGATAAGTGAGTAAGTATTTCATAATGAAAAGTGGTATCAGGTGTCTAGAAGAGTAGGCATACCCTGTCTGGCACAAAACTGCTCACATGAGGAAGTATATCAATGATAAGTGAGTAAGTATTTCATAATGAAAAGTGGTATCAGGTGTCTAGAAGAGTAAGCATACCCTGCCTGGTACAAAACTGCTCACATGAGGAAGTATATCAATGATAAGTGAGTAAGTATTTCATAATGAAAAGTGGTATCAGGTGTCTAGAAGAGTAAGCATACCCTGCCTGGTACAAAACTGCTCACATGAGGAAGTATATCAATTATATGTGAGTAAGTATTTCATAATGAAAAGTGGTATCAGGTGTCTAGAAGAGTAAGCATACCCTGCCTGGTACAAAACTGCTCACATGAGGAAGTATATCAATGATAAGTGAGTAAGTATTTCATAATGAAAAGTGGTATCAGGTGTCTAGAAGAGTAAGCATACCCTGCCTGGTACAAAACTGCTCACATGAGGAAGTATATCAATTATATGTGAGTAAGTATTTCATAATGAAAAGTGGTATCAGGTGTCTAGAAGAGTAAGCATACCCTGCCTGGTACAAAACTGCTCACATGAGGAAGTATATCAATTATATGTGAGTAAGTATTTCATAATGAAAAGTGGTATCAGGTGTCTAGAAGAGTAAGCATACCCTGCCTGGTACAAAACTGCTCACATGAGGAAGTATATCAATTATATGTGAGTAAGTATTTCATAATGAAAAGTGATATCAGGTGTCTAGAAGAGTAAGCATACCCT